CCTACTTGCATTTTCAGGTTTGAAGTCACGAAACCCTAAACTCTTTATTCTACCTGCAAGAGCTGATTGAACGAAGCCGTAAAGCAGTGTTACCAACTAAGTCCTCCACAAAAACCTTCTTCAGTTTTCACAGTGAAAATTCTTCAAACAATTTATTAAATGCAGTTCTCTCTGAAAATTCTTTTCCCGGTTGTTTCACCAGTCGAAAGCAAAACCGATCCTACCTCTTCTCTTCTGACACCACCGCAAAAAAGCACTTTTGCAACTAATGGATGTATATTGCGTCTACATTGAACCTTTCCGACGAGCAGTTGCATTCAATTCCTCCCTTCCAATTCCTTTAAAGCTTTGACCAGATGTATTTCTTCAATACCGTTCCGAAAAATGAATTTTTTTACAGTTTTACGGGACACATTGTACACGCAACCAACAACTGGGAAACCCAGTAAACGAACTCTGGATATTAAACACCAAACTAAACTACAACTTCCCTACAAACTACAGTGACAAATAAAAAAACCGAAATAAAAACCACAGGAACTGACATGCGAATAACCCCAAAATGTCACGCAAGTTCCTACCAAACTGCACAACAAAACAGACCAACGAGAAAAAACAGACCAATGAACAAGATTTTAACTACGCTAGGCTTGTCACCTCTTGCTTGACGCAAATAACCACACATGTTCTAGAGCTACACACTTTCCGCTACCCGGTCTAGAATTGTCCGTTGCAGCCAAATTTCTTACTATACAACAAAACATTTCAAAAAAAAGAACATTACACCACGCGAACAACCAAGTACGACGCAACTTCGGAATATAGCCATCCTGTTCACCCAGTCCCAAATGCCAATCTCTTTGACTGCTGAAACAACTATTTCATCAAGCCCATTCTGAAAATAGTAACACTGCCCAAAGCCAAACTGCAACAACTTAATACTCTACATAAAACTTTACAGAAAAGAATGGCGAAAAGAAATTCCAGCGTAGTTTCTAATCAAGAAACTACAGAACGAATTTGAATCAACATTTCCATGGAAGAGGGAAAACCCTGGAACACTTTTAACGAACTGAGTGATTCGACGTGAATGGCTTGGAACGAATTCAGCCTACAAACAAAGTTTACAGGAAAAAAAGAATCGTTTTCCAATAGCGAAACAAGTGTCCACAGCAACTGACTGCTAAA